GGGCCATTTTTTGCTTGTTTTTGCCCCCAACCCCTAGGAACACTCTACAAGCCTCCTAAAAGCTATACATGCCCTTTTTTTCAAAAAAAAAAAGAATAGAATTCGTGAAAATGGGCCATTTTGGGGAGGTTTGTAGAGTGCAATTTTTTTTTAAATTTGCCTCTTCAAAACCTTGGTGCAACTTATACTCTGATGTGTCTTATACTCCAAAAAATACGGTATGGAACCCAATGTTTTCCCAACATTGGCAATTTTAAGACCTATGAACTTCAACTCCCAGAATTCCTCAGCCACCATGCTGTTTGGAGAATTCTGGGAGTTGAGGATCGTGTGCACCTACAGCTGCCAAGATTTGGAAATCCTAAACTATTCAAATACTTTATGGAAAGCTTTAAAAAAATTCATGTACAATACACGAAAGTAAAACACAAAAACACAGCAAAGTCCTTGAAGCAAGGGAGTCACTGCGGATAAAACAGAAATCGACTTCTATATCTGGAAGTACACATATTGACATATAACAGTTCATTTAGTGACCATTCAATGGCACTTAAAAATGTGATTTATGACTGTTTTTCAGTTCACCATGATCATGTGATCAAAATTCAGATGCTTGGCAACTGGTTCATATTTATGACCATTGCTGTGTCTCAAAGTCATGTGATCACCTTCTCACAAGCCAAATCAATGGGGAAGCCAGATTCAGTTAACAATGGTATCCCTAACTTAATGACTGCAGTAATTCACTTAACAACTGTGGCAAGAAAAGTCATAAAATGGGGCAAAAACTCACTTAACAAATGTTTCACTTAACAGTAACTTTGGGCTTAATTGTGGTTGTAAATTGAGGACTATCTGTATACCTTTTCATGAAGCAATCTCTCTCTTTTGAACGAATGGTTGTGTATCTTTTATATCTGCAGACAGCAATAAAATTGCCACAAGCCCAGTTTATCTTAATTTTCTCAACTTTCACAGATATTTCATTATCATTTTGGACCCACTGCCAAAACACTGTTATACACTCAGGAGTGACCGCTGCATTAGTAAAACCACTTCACAAAACAAGATTGTTTATTGCCCTGGATATCAGTACAAAAGTTAGCTGTGTATCATATCATTGAGTAAATAAATATTTCCCCAAAGAATGATTGGGACAGCTAGCTTCATTTGCTGAAATTGGCCGCAGTTCTGATAAAACCTTAAGCATTTTTTTAAAACATGGAGCAATTTGCCAACAACCCTCCCTCCTGCCCCCTTCGTTTAATTTATATACCAGAACTAAATTGGAGATGTTATTTATTTTGGAAGATGAGCTTATTAGCATTATTAGAATTGTATAAATCAACTTAATTGTATGGATCTCTTTCAATCAAAACAAAAATGTCTGGCATGTTATAAAATGTGAAGTTACTACTTTTTAATATAAGCAGTTATGAATATTTAGCAACACATCTGAAGATGCAGCTGATGTATTTTTATCGTCAGAAGCACTTTTGGGGGTAGACGAGTGCTGATTGGCTGCGACTGGTCAGAAAAGCTATGTGATGCTTTGCCCACAGGGTGGCATTACAAAAGGACAGCCAGTGTTTTTAATACAGGTATTGGCAAACTTGCTCACTTGCAATACTGAACGAGTCCTGTGATGAAGGAATGACAGGCAGTCATTAAGGAAGTGTTAACTTAATGAACTCATCTGGTGTACAGCAGCTGCTTTGCTTCCCATAACTCCATCGAATGCCGCATAAAGTGAGCCATTGATCACTGCAGCAAAGAAAGGGAAATTGGATAATATTTTGTTCTGAGACTCTGGCATAGCTCCTCATGGATTATTCATCTGACTTGGAGGGAACTATTTCTGGGTTTAGTCTGGCTTTTCCACACTCAGAAGTTTGAATCTGGGCTTGTCTGAATGGCTCCCTAACCAGTACCTAAACCCTACTGCTTGCCCATGTGTCCCTTTAATCTTCCCTGTCTATTTAGTCTCTCTTCCTTACCGTGCTTCATATCTAGCAGACTGACATTTTCTCTACTTCCTTGCATTCCCAAGCCAGCTCTCTACTGCTATGCAATTCCATCCCTGACTTTGCCTCTACCTTAAAAGCAATCTGCTTTCTAAATACAACCAAGAATTCTAGTGGACCATTAACCCATCGTGATTCAAATCCGAATCTGATATCTTTACCTATTTCCACTTTGTTTGTGTGTGTGTGTGTGTGTGTGTGTGTGTGTGTGTGTGTGTGTGTGAGAGTGTGGGG